CAGAGAATATCTGGGGGGTTCCAAAAATCGTTATCTAGGTCAGACCCCATATTTTTTATATGAAATATTTTAGCGGTATAAAACACAGTTTCCTGCACAAGAATATTGTAAATAATAGATCAAAAGAATACGTGTAATGACTGAAACGGATTAAATCTTAATATTAGTTTTAATGATAATTCTTTGTTCAAAAACACTGGTTATTCAGTAGTTCAGTCCTTATCAAGTTTATCAAGCCGTCTCCCCCCTCCCAGGACAAATTATATTCTGAAATCTGCAGAGTTTGCTCTAAAAAAGTGATCCTAGTATTTAATATTGCTTAGATTTTAGCAGAATTTCGTATCGTCGCCGAACGTAATATATTTGCAGAACCATTGAATAATTGATATCTTTATTTCAAACACACTAAACTAAATTTAACTAAATTGTTTTCATGGAAAATTTAGATGTAGTTAATTAAACATAATTGTGCGCAGGGATGCGATCAAATAATTGTGGTTGGGCACAAGAGTGCTGCTGAGATGCAGGTGGATGATGTTGAAGATTATGACTACGACAACCCTGCGGACAGAAATGATTATTGTCCCGACGTGGATGATGATCAAGATGCCTACGGTGAGAATTTTTTATTAAAGTTTGTCATTTCATTTATTGTCCACAATCCACATGTCACTTTTAAAGTGAAACCATCACTGAAAAAGATATATTTTTAGCTGGAATAACTAAGATAAATAATTCATCCAAGATGAGACACCGGTTTGAAGGGTACGATTTGTGAATCGGACATGACACTATAAGTGAACGGGCACTTGACATTACGCCTTCCATCCCTTTAAGTGATATAAACATTTTTCCTAGGTGGTGATTATGTTAGTGGAGGAGAAACCATGTTAGGTTCTAGCCTAGAGCCGAATTCTCAATCCGACCTTGTCTCCCAGGTCGGGTGCATTTTAAAAAAATGTTTTGATGATTTTTATTAAACGTGTTTTATAATTTTAACTATTATCACATTTTAGAAATATTTATTTAGGCTATATCTTAAAGTTTTTTTTGCCAAAATTTTTTTAAATATTTTAAAACTTACTCTTTATGATCTTAGTTTGTTCTAATCCTAATATTCAATATTCATTGTACCGACTCTAAACCAATAGACACTTTTTATTGTATTTTATCCCAATATAATTAAATTTATAAAAAGAAACGGAATTAATAAAAAAAATTCTTGTTTTTAAAATGTTGAATTTTTGAAGGGTGAATACGGTGCAGATGATCTAGTTGAAGCCCCCAAGATGGTTGACAAGGCTGCCCTGCAAATTGGTTACGCCAAGACTGCCAAGAAGGTTGACATGAAGCGGATCAAGGCAGTTACCTGGAATATCCTTACTCAGGCTAGTACCGAGGTCAATATTATACTTTTTTTTAAGACAAAAGTTGATTTTCTATTAGTTTTTTCGACATTTTGTTTGCTTGAATTCGTGTAGATTTTGTTCCTAGCATGCACTGCTTGAAGCTATTTTATTTATAGAGGTGTATGTTCTTCTTGTCCCTCCTACCTAATAATAAATAGGGAAGAAAAATTAAAATGTTAATAATGCTTAAATTTAAGAATCGGAAAGCAAATAATGTCATTCTCAAAGTTTATTACGTTTATTTCGCGATTTAAAGTTTAGTTGTCTATTGACTACTATCGGTCATTTTCATGTAGTTGTAAATTAGCGTGTGATGTTATTCTTTTCTTCCTCCCAAATTTTACCCAACAAACCAATTTAATCTTTTTGCCTTACCGGCAAAGTTTTTTTTAGTAAATTCCCCATTTTTATTTGATTTAATTAGTGTAAAATTTTCATAATTTCGATGGTCAAGATAGAAATTTGTTAAGTTTTTGAATTATCAAATCTTCTCAATTAAAAAAGTTTATCACAATTTTTCAATATAGTTTTGCTTTTGCTCTATTCTCTAATAATAATATTTATTTGTGATACTTGTAGGATAAGGAGAACGTAGGAGGGTCTCCAGAGAAGGTATCTGAGAAGGAGGAGGAGGGGAAGGTGCATGAAACCTCCTTCTCTCATATATACCGTCTTCTTAAACAACCCCGCCGTCTACCCCCTAAGATGACGGAGAATCTCTCCGTTCCCCTCGCTTTTCTTGGTAAGCAAACTTAAGTATTAAACAGTGGTGGGTTACAAAGTTTCCCAGGAACGGGGATTTTTTAAAGATAAGTTTGATCATTTTTATGTCCCAACTTTAAAGTGAATAATGGGGCTGTAGGGGGGCGGGGAAATGTGTCTTTAGTTCCAGTTTTGTAAATATATTTAGTAGAATTTTATTAACTACTACTAGCTTAAATACCAGGCGTTGCCCAATGCCTAGGTTTAAAACACTTTTTTTTAATCAAGCCATTTGGCCAGCTATGACGAACTAATATATATATATATGAGCGAAGAACTTAATTATATAGATAACACCTAACAGGGCGCCATAGGGGCATTTTTTTAATTCAGTCTTGAAAATTTGATTAAAGGCGCTAAATTCCAGTGATAATAATTAAAAACTGTATTCTAGTCTCTCAAATATTTGTGGGTAAATCTGATCATTTAATTTTGAATTATTAAACAACTAAGAACTAATTTACAAAATCATTTCTGCTGCACTGGGTATTAACTATTTTTGCTGCTCATAATTATTTATTTTATTTCAGCTCTCTTGCATTTGTGTAATGAGCAGAACCTAGAGATCGACCAGAATCCAAATCTTAAGGATTTCACGATACATCAAGCCTAAATAAGGAAACAAAATTCATGGATTTCACAACACATAAAGCATTAAATAGGAAACAAAATTCGAGGATTTCTTCTTGTACACTGTGACACAAGTCCGCCAATCCATCCAATATAAATCAGTCAAGTCCTAAAATCTAAAATGGGAGTGAGTGTTTGATATGAATTGAATCAATTGTTTTAATTTAATGGAAGTTTTCAATAGTTGTATGTTGATAGGGAATCGTCATGAAAAAAATAATGATTTTATCATTACTATTTATATGTTGATCTGGTTGTTAGCTAGCCCAGTCTCTAAAAACTTCTACCAATCCAGCGCTTTTTAGTTTGCAATGCCCTGCACTGCGCCTCATTTTAAAGATTCAAGGCCTTTCCCTTAGTTTCGCCGTTTTATCGAAGTTCTATGGCGTTATGACAGATTGGTTGAAAATTTAAGTATTTCTTAACTGTTTTTTAACAATATTTCTTCAGGACTATTCAAAATATATATTAGCTATGTAAACTGTTGCCTCTTAAACTAAAAATAGTATATTATTGTATTTAAAAAATGCAGTACCTGAATAAATGGATATTAACAAGTATATTTATACATAATTATATGTTCTTTATGTAACTAGGCTTTCAATTCTTTTATTTCAATTGTGAACATTTTCTCTTTTGTATACATTGTAAAATAAAAACAAACAAAAAATGTAATGCAAATCTAATTTTTAGGCCTATCCAGCATTCCAACAGTCCAACAATTATGGAGCTACCAAAGAATATATGGTCTGAAACTGGCTCTTACTTGTTTTAAAAAATGTTAACTCCAACCGGCTTTATTTTTTGTTTTTTTTTATTGAAAAATCCAACTGATGTAGGAGAAAACCCTAGGATGATTATTTTAGGAAAGTTTTGAGGAGTTGAATGCTTGTAATAAAGGTCTTCCTAATGAACCAGTTGTGAGCCTTAAAGACCCAGGAGCTGCCGACCATAGCAGTGTAGACTGGCATGTAGGGTTCAATCTGGTCCTGTCCACATTAGGACCATGTCCTAGTAACGACTAATTTTAGTAAAGGTTAAGAATTAATTAATTAATTTTTGAAATTTTGATTATCTATAAACCTTCATACACCAAATTTGGGCCGTTTTGTCGTTCATTTGATACAGACAATCGAACAAAGTATATATATATATATATATATCATTTTTATGTAATTGGAGCTCAATGAACTGATCACAACATATTTTTGGGGTTAGGACAATGTACAGATAACATAAATTAATAGATAGGACGTTCCAGAATAAGGACATTTATAATCTGAGAAGATTTTTCATATATTTTGATACAGTCGTATAAATCAATATGATACAAAACTTCTGTTTTTAATTTAGATTTTTTACTAACTTTCAGCATGGAGTTACTCCTAAACATGGAAAGAAAGGGAAGCTGTCAATTAGAAGTTTTCTTTGTTTACTTTTAAACTTGAAAAAAGCTTGCAAGTAATCAAAACTTGATTTATCGTCTTTATTTTATTGATATAAACACTAGCTTCTGTATAAAGGTAATTGATTGACAGGAAACAATTTTGATGATTTTAAAACCCGAAACGAAATTCTTAGCGACACATCAAGAATGCGTACATTCCCAATTTGAAGATGTGCGATCTTTTAGATTTACATAGTATGTACACTGTACAGTAAGAAAAAAAACTGGAATAGAAAGGCGACATTATACCAATAACATTTTTACAAATGAAATAGTTTTTCCAGTAACTTATTAAATTAGTTGACAAGGTAAATTGGTCTGTTTACACTACACACTTTCTGTATCTCATATTCATTGGACTATTTAAAGTCATACAATGAGTCAAATAGTCGTCTTTCTGTTCTACAGTTTTCTGGTAATCACTACACATACAGATAATAAAATGTAGTATACATTGTCTTGCATTCTGTGTCTCGTCTATCAAGGTTTCAACTAGATATACACTGTACAGGGTTACCCACTAAGGATGAGACGTCAGAGACGACTGTACGGAATTAACACTTTCTTTTTCCTTAAAATTTGTATTCCCTGCAACAGTAAACTTATTTATTTCTTTTCCCAATCATTTCAAAGGCCATGAAAAATACTATATTCATGGCAAAATACTTAATCTTAAAACCGTCATATTTAAAGAGTTTCAGGTCGCCTTTTCAGTCTCAACCTTTGTGGGTAACCCTGTATAATATCAGTTTAAAGGAAACAGATGAGTAGTAGAGATCATATATCGCATAAATAGCTGACCTAGCTGGGAACTTTTGTGTTGGATACTTATAATCCCGATTTCTTCATCATGATGTCAACTCTGGGCATTTTGATTTGAGGATCAATAAAAACTATACCTTTTTATATCTTCATTCTAGTTCTTCCTTCCTCATCAAAGCTCACTTCAACGACTTTAATCCCTGGCTGGGGATGATTACAATGTGGGATATCCAATTACGATTTCATTAATCTGCAGATCAAGATCAAGCATTAATCTCGATATTCGCAGTACAAGAGTTTACAACTCATTGTGGGCTACTAAAAGATAAAATTAGCCTATTCATCAAAACTCTTATCTGTCTACGAATATATCTCGTCTGTCAAATGTCTGATACGAAATCTATAAATTGTCACAACACCATCATTTTTGTGACTGTCGACATGTTTCTGAGTGACCTTTTAATTGAAGAGCAGCTTGTTCGACTCACATCGCTACTCTACCAACTCGTATGAGCAAAAGGGGGATGGTGGAGATGTCACATTTTGGGGGGGGGGGGCTGCCTTCAGTTTTGGTTCAAATCTTCCAATTTCTTGGCTGCACGGCTAATTAGTGATCGAAATTCCTAAAATTAAATTAAATTAAATTTTTAAATTTTAAATAACCTCTAATGACCTTCACAAATAGAAAATATTTCAACTATGGATTATGCATATCAAACGAAAGCTAGGAACCCAGTGAATACAGTAGCAGCAACGAATCCAGTGTTTGACCTTCTAATATCAATTAAAATCTAGGAACCCCAGGAATACAGTAGCCGCAACGAATACAGTGTTTGACCTTCTAATGACCTCCAATGACCTAAATTGACCTCTAAAATGAAATGTTTTAACTTTGGCTTTATCATCAAATGAAAGCTAGAAACTCAGGGTATACAGTAACAGTAACAATTGACCTTTTAATGACCTGTTGACCTAAATGACCTCCAAAAATGAAAATGTTTTAACTATGGCTTTCTACATATCAATTAAAAGCTAAGAACCCCAGGAATACAGTAGCTGCAATGAATCCAGTGTCCACCATCCCCTTTGAGTAATTCCGGATACGTATCAAATGAAATAAAGCTGAAAACATTCCAATGGCTCGATTAAAATTTGAGGTAATTCGTCAATGAGCAAAGATCGCCTGTATCAAGGTTGAATACTCTTGGTCACTCTCGATGCGCTCCAATGAACGGAAATTGTAGTCTCCTAAAAACCTCACATATGACGTCACTCTATAATCAGTGACGTCTATCTATCTTAAGAGAAAACATTTTCCGTACATTGTCGCGCATCAAAAGTAATCAATATTAATTACAAAACCTTGGTCTGTATCCACCTAGCATCACGTCTTAGGGTTGTTTTTATTTGCGTTAATATGAGGCTGGTTAAATGTATGCTTTTATTAACATAGAGGTTTCAATTGATGCATATTCGGAATGAAAGATGTTCATGGGAACATCGCAAATCCCAGGCAAAGCTGAGTTTCCAAGCTATTGTTAATAGTCAGAACTTGTTTTGCGATTATCTGGATCAAGTGTTGATCTCCATCTTATGTGAACCTACGGTACCATGCAGGGATCAGAAATTTGTTCTCAAAATAAAAGTGCCCGCAATGGATTTTAAGATCAAAATAGTTTCGACCACAGGTATTAACAAGGGTGTTTAAAAAAACTCTCAAAAATGTTTCCGTTAAAATAAAAACAAAATAATTTTATTTTTTATTATTCTTATCAAAGGTCTTTATAGACACAAATACTTTTAACATAACATATTCCATAAATTCAGTGAAATCTGAATCAGTGATGAACAGTATCCGCCATTATCTAATAATGATACAGGAGCATTCGCCGCCTGTTAACATTTAGATACGGGATGATACCGGGTGTAAATGATACATCTGCCTTCTTTTAACAATGATACCTAATATATTTATGGCAGATGTGCCTGCCTTCGAAGCTGTAAAACTATCCTCATGGTACGTGCCGAAGAAAGCAGATATTGTTTTACATAATGATATATGCGACATATGCATGTTAACTTGGTAATTTGATATCTGCCTTTTTATCTAATGTTACTCTGCCTTTATGTCTGAATAACAAAGGCAATATATTCCTGTGTTTATACTTGAATATCTGCCTTCATATGTAATGATACAGAGGATATCTGCCATCATATAAATGATACAATTTATATCTGCCTTCATATATAAATATATATGATGCCAAGGATAGCTGCCTTCATATATATATATATGATACAGAGGATATCTGCCTTTATATATATATGATAAAGAGGATATCTGCCTTTATATATATGATACAGAGGATATCTGCCTTCATATCCATGATACAGAGGATATCTTCCTTCATATATATATGATACAAAGGATATCTGCCTTCATATATATAGAATTATACAGAGGATATCTGCCTTCATACATATAATGATACAGAGGATATCTGCCTTCATATATATAGAATGATACAGAGGATATCTGCCTTCATACATATATGATACAAAGGATATCTGCCTTCATATATATAGAATTATACAGAGGACTGCCTTCATACATATAATGATACAGAGGATATCTGCCTTCATATATATAGAATGATACAGAGGATATCTGCCTTCATACATATAATGATACAGAAGATATCTGCCTTCATATATCACACTTATGATGAAGATGACATCTGCCTTCTTATATATGTATAATGTTACAGAGGTTGTCTGCCCTTTCATATATATGATGCAGAGAATATCTGCCTTCATATACATATGATACAGAGGATATCTTCCTTCATATATATATGATACAAAGGATATCTGCCTTCATATATATAGAATGATACAAGGATATCTGCCTTCATACATATAATGATACAGAGGATATCTTACTTTGTGTATTATAAAGACAGTATTTACATTTAGATAAAAAGTACAGATTTAACAAAATTATGGCAATACGCTTTATAACGATTATTTCTCCTAGATAAAATATTCAAGCTCAAAAAAGTATACTTTAACTAAATTGTGGCCCGTGTAACTATCATTAATTAATTCAACGATTATCAACACATGTCAACTTAATTACGATTTCGATTGGTAATAATAAAATTTGCATAGTCTCTTAATTCCCTAGTCCGGATATACCATTTAGAGGGGTATAAAGTTCCTTTTTGGGGCCTTTCAATCCTTCTTAAAGGTTTTCATGGAAAAATAGATTTGTTCAACTAAGTCTGGTAGTAAGTGAAAAATTTCAGAAGGAATCACAATGTTAGAGAAAGAATAGAACTGGATGGGATGCACCCGGCACCGGCGAGGTGTCACCAACAAGGTGTGAGGGGGGCCCGGGGGATATTTGATTAGATCTACTGAATGAATGATTCTTATTTTCGATAAATGTTTCAGTCAATAAGACTGTAAGGCAGAACATGTAGTATCTCTCCGTTTAATGTCTCCTTGGAGGCCATCTCATGCCACTCTCTGAACGTTCCGGCGTGATCTGTCACTCCTCCGATATATTCTAATTGCCCTTCGTTGAGATCTTGAATAACCTTCTCAGTTATCTCCAGCTTCGGCTTAAAGACGGGGATCAACCCCTCAATTTCCTCCTCATCTTCCATCCGAGCCTCCCATTCCGCCAAAACGGCGATTGGGTCAATCGGCGGGAGTTGTGCCAAGACATCCTCTATACTCTGAAGTGGAGGAATCGCCGCGGGTGTCTGAACCCGGCTTGAAACCGCTGAATTGCTGACAGAAGACGGAAGAGTACCAGCGGCGGTCGGAGGACGGGAAATGACTTGAACAGCGTCTTCGTCCTCGTCTTCGACATTGACAAGCTGAGACTCGAAGAACCTGTTCATCAACTCTTCCTTGTTCTCGTTGGGGACTAGATTGTTCATGTTATGAGGTACGGGCGGACTAACCACGTGACGAGACTCAATTCCTAGATTTTCCAAAAGCTCCTGCGTGGTCTTAACCTTGCCCTGCTTGGCCATTGTGATCTGTTTCTTGAGCATGTTCTTATTCTCACTCCCAGGCCGGGATACATGCTTCTTAGGACGGTTTGCGAGACTGATTCTATCACTAGAGGAGATTACTCCATCACGAGCAATTCCGTCGATTCCGTTTAGGTTTTGTGTTTGATGACCGAAATCCAATTTGGGACGTTTGTTGTCCAACCGGACGTCACTGTCTTCGCGTCGCATTCGTTTGTGATTGGTGAGAACACGGGGGGTTTTCACCACCTCGTCGATAATCTCAATATCCGGAGATGGAGACCTGTAGGGTCAATATTCTTTATCAACTCAATTTAAGAAATACAACCTCTTATTATGAAATGAACAGTTTTGAGGAATTAATGTGTAATAACTATTTAAAACACGGTTATTCTGGTTTGCAGTATTATAAAGTTTTTGACAGAAATTTTCTCTTTATCGAGATGGTCCAAGCCTTTTCAGATTTTATTTTGTCCCGAGCTTTAGGGATTTGTAATCTAAAAAGGCGAGAAACTTCGAGATATTGTGAAAATTTAAATACCAAAACTATAAAGCACGTCGCGCCAAAATAAAAGTGTTATAGGTGGCTGTTTCTCGATCAAAAAGCTTTGAAACAAAGCAAAGTCAAAATATAAAGTTGATTTCAATTTTAGTTTCATTTAATTGAAAAAAAAATATTTTGGAAATATCCTTAATATTTTGGAGAAAATCCGGGAACCAATCAAAACTTTACAGCACACGTGCTATAATGTACAGCTAATTTAACATTTCAGTACGATGATTAATTTATTGCACGTTGATTATGAAAAAGTCACGATGAAGTGAGTAATAATGATAAAAGTTCACTATAGTTTTATAAAATATCCAATAATCTTAGGTTTATTTCATTGCTCTTGAAGAGAAAGTTCTAATTATAACCAAAAGGTGTGTCATCAAAAAACGCCCAAATCAATTTATATTGTCGGGTTATTTTAAACGGAGGCAAAAAAAACTAAAAAAATATTTTTTGAGTAGGGGATGGGGATTGAAGTCCTATATAATATAAATATTTTTAAAGAATATATTCCTTGAATTAGGTAAGCTAGGCCCAGGAGGATTAATTGGTCTGAAGGTATGTGGGGAAGAAGGTCGAGAGTTGCTGGGACTTGATCCAGAGCTAGAAATCGTCACTGTGGCTGGAGACACACGAGGCGTGGCCGATCTGCTAACGGATGGTGAAGCCCGGGCGGATCTAAACCCCCCGGAGAGAGAGTTTGGGATGCTCCCCTGTCTCTGAGGTATACCTGGAGTCATACAAGGTCGCATTCCCGGGGATAGGTTATTCCTCATTCCCGGAGATAAATTATTCCTAGGGAGACCAGGAGAGATATTATTTCTCATCGGGAGACCAGGAGAGATATTGTTTCTCATAGGGAGACCAGGAGAGATATTGTTTCTCATCGGGAGACCAGGAGATATATTACTCCGGGGGAGACCGGGGGACAAGGCAACCGCCGCATTGAGCCTGGAGGCGGTGTTGCCGTTCGTGGCCGCCAGGCTATTATTATTATTACCGCCACCCGGCGGGGGACCCGTTTCCGGTCCAGAGAGCAAAGCCCGCCATTTTTTGACAAGACTTTTAGCTCTGTTTGCGAGTAATCTGTCAGAGGATTTTCTTCTCAACTCGTTTATATGCTTTCCCAATCTCGTAGCCTGGAATAGTTTGTATAAAAATTAGAGTAAACAAAATGCAGCTTCACCGAGGGAATATAAGCTCACATTTTAAAGAATACCCCCCCCCCCCCCTCTTGAGAAAAGTAGACTTTATCAGGCAAGTTCTTTTTACATTTTTTTCAATAATTTAAACCCTTAGATTAATTTTCACTCTAAAACAGCGAAAACACCCAAAAAATAATTTTGCTTTACAGAAGGAGTTTAATGATTTAAGAAGAAAAATGTATCAAATTAAATAATATAATCGTAATATAATTTTTTAATTATTTAAAACGCATTTAATTTTTCATACGTTATAATTCAACAATTAAAAAGATTTAAATTATATATTTCAACATACCTCCAAGGCTTCTTTTGTAATGTGAAAACTCTCAAGCTCGCCGATGACCTCGCTAACAATGCCCATGTCAACAACCTAAAAAATAAAATTTTGAAATTGAATTTATATTCGGTTTTGATATTTATTTCTGTCGTGTATCTGTCCCAGATTAGTAAATTGAAATCAAATTGAGAGAAGTTGGAACATTATAAACGAGAGAGAAGTAGATGAACTAGCTACGGGTAGTTCCAATAACTTTCTGTGCCGCTGAGACCACCTTGAACCAGCCAAGGAGAAATAACAAACAACGAAATGCATCCTGTCTGTATTGGAATATTCAAAGTCATATTTTGATCTCTCATTTAATATTCGTCAATAATAACGTAAGACACCTTACATACCTAAAAATTTTAAATGAATAGTTCCGACAAAACAGTATCACATGGCAAATGCAAAAAACCTACATTTATTAGGTAAAAATTGGATTTAAACCGTGAGGAAATTTTTTTCAAAATTTTGGAAAAGAGAAAAGTAGAAAAGTATGTAGCTTCCTTCTCCCCCCCCCCCCCAAAAAAAAACCTTTATTTGTTCCGATCTTTCTCAGTTGCAATAAGACCGGTTGAGAATAGGTTCAAGTTAGTTAAATTTACAAATTATAGATTCAATGAAACATGACCTTAGCAGTAAATTCACATCGAGTACCAACAAACAACTCCTGTGCTTTGATTCATGTTTTCCAACAGAACATTTTTCAAGTGGTTGAAGGGGCAACCAAAAGTTAAAATGAAGCAATTTTCAACTTTGAAATAAGCTTTGTCCGTTTCCCTTACAATTTGTTTTACTTTGAAGTTAAAGTCCCAATTTTATTCCTGCTTGACGGCAATAAAAAGAAAAAAACTTGAATTAAGAACATGAATAGCAAAAATGTTAATTGGATAGAAATTATTTAAGTTTATAATAGTAATTTTTACATAATTATAAATAAACCGAGTTTCTTCGTCAGAAAAAAGTTTAGAAGGAGAGTTTATTTAGACATTGCGTTAATAAACTTGAACTAAAAAGTTCCAGTCCTTGATTTTACAAACCACGAATGCAACAATATTCATAGAAAACAGTTCAGCTGACATACAGGGTGTCTCTAGATATACAGGGTGTCCCTAGATATACAGGGTGTCCCTAGATATATAGGGTGTTTCTAGATATACAGTGTTTCTTAGATATACAGGGTGTTTCTAGATATACAGTGTTTCTAGATATAAAGTGTTTCTTAGATATGCATGGTGTACCTAGATATTCAGGGTGTTTTCTAGACAAACAGGGTTTTTCTAGGTGAACAGGGGGTTTCTAGATATACAGGGTGTTTCTAGATATACATGGTGTTTCTTAGATATACAGGGTATCATTAAATATACAGGATGTTCCTTAGATATACAGAGTGCCCCAAGATATACAGGGTGTTTCTAGATATACAGGGTGTTTCTTAGTTATACAGGACGTTCCCTAGATATACAATGTTTCTAGATAAACAGGGTTTTTCTAGATCAACAGGGTTTTTCTAGATAAACAGGGCGTTTTTATAGATATACAGGGTGTTTCTTAGATATACAGGTCGTTCCTTAGATAAAAAGTGTGTTTCTAGACATACAGGGGGTCACTATATATACACTACAGGGTGTTTCTAGATATACAGGGTGTCCCTGAACATTTACAGAATCATCTAATGTATAAACATATATAGAATCGTTGATGTACTTGGGGTGTCCCTAGACATTTATAGGAATGTAAAAAGGGTATCTTGAGACATGTAAACAATCATTGACATAAAGGGGGTACCTAAATATTACTATAATTATCTTGACATTCATAGGATCATTTCAAGAATCGTTGATATACAGGTCCTCAGAACTTAGAAAGTATTTTTCAGGGTGTCCCTAGACATTTGCAAAATCAGTGATATCGAATTTTTTATGTACCCTTACTAGACATATTTATAAAAGGAGTTTTTTATCAAAATATTGTCTACCCCTTTTACAAATTAAATTGTCAAGGAAATACAATTAGGTAACATAAAGAATACTTAGCAAAGAACATTATCAGAACTTTACGTGACATGGGACATAAACTTAGTGAGATGAAATAATCAATATTCACACATTCAAAGAACAAGGATATGAACAGACAGAAAAATTTGAGAAAAAAAAATAAACTCAAGGTTTTTAGAGAATAGACAAAACCGAAAGATTTTGGTCTTCCCAAAAACAATTATATTGGGATTAATACAACACAAGTTGAATTGGCGTGCAGGGGGGGGGGAGGGGTTCTTCCTTTGAAATATGAGAAATCTGACTGAAGTCACGTAACTCTTAAACTTAGGTCCTGCAAATCTTTGAAAAGAAATTTTGAATATTTTCCACCACAGTTTAGTTTTAGTATTACTTTTTCCTAAAGGATAAAAGAATAACTTAAAAATTTTAAATATTTCTTTATGTCTAATATACAAAGCTTAGGATCCATTAAATTTGATGCGGATCCGGATCAGCACTGAAAAAAAAATCGATCCGGATCCAGGTAATTTCTTAAGATTTACTAAATTTTTTTAACAAAAAAAATTTCAAATTTTTTATTTCATTTTTTTCGCTTATTTTTATCCTAAAACTTGATGAACCATTCATGAGAAATGAGTAAATTTTATAATCTATCTTTTGTTTCAAAAGTTCAGATTTCGGTTTTAGGAGTAAAAAAGTTTTTTTTTGCAGTTTTTAGTTGATATATTATCCCTTGGATCCGGATCCAGATCCAGGAAGCCAATCTTGCGATCCAACGGATCCTAAGCACTGCTCAAAAAGCTTAACCAAATTACATTGCAGTTTCAGCTTACTTATTATTGTTAAGATATTTATCAAGTAAGTATCATAAAGAAAATCATTTCAAATGTTTTTTTTGACCGAGTGAGTCATAGATTTTCCAAGATAGAAACGAGTGTGGCGTAAATACTAAACTAAGAAAGTTTAAAGAAATCTTCTAACTTGGTGAGGAATTTTGTGCAAAATTGCGAAAGAAAACAAAAATGTGTGCAAATCCTAACTTTCAGGCAAGTCATGTATTGTAAGAAGAGGTCCAGTGCAGTTTCAGATTTTAAGGCCGTCAGGCCAATACTAAAGTATATGACGTGTACAAAAGGCCCTAGAGCATGGTATTGAATCAAAATCATCCATTTAAACTGAAAAAATTGAAATTTTATTCCCCTCCTTCTTTCTATTCTGTTTAGAAGTATTGGAAAACGTGAGGGAATGAAGTTAGCTGTGTTGTGTTGAGACAAGGCCCCCTGGCCCCCCCCCCCCCCCAATAGACTCCATAGCTACAACAGTCTTAGTAGGGAGTAGGTACTCCCCCTTCCCACCACAGGGCGAGGCTTTTTGTACCGACACGACCCAACTTGCCAACATCAAACCTTGCAACTCCTTGGAATATCACTTTCAAGTATTAAACCCCTATTTTCACTTAATCTCACAAGTCAGTGAGGTCACTGTGAGTCTTTAGAGGACCTGTGCGGTCTCCTTCATCACTTTTATTTGATAAAACTCACTTAAAATCGCATTTTTTCACTGTCCGGAGTATAGAAGCTAGTTGAGTTGCAAGGTTCAGAATTGATTATCCGTGGAGTTAGTCGAGCTGCGCATGCACCGGGCCGGCCCAAACCCCAGTCAGTCGGAGGGACACAGACACTTCGGAGCTCGACCCGCCATTTCAACAGTGTGTACGACGACACAAAATATGGAGAAAATATTTTGAGACTCAAAGTTTTCATCTTGGGCTCAATCGAGCCATTTCTAGGTAAGCGCATGTTCAAGGGGGGATCTAAAGGGCTTAATAATTGATTCGAGTTTTCATATCAATATATTTTAAGTTGTTTAAACTTAGGTCGAATCTCCAAGTTGTGTCAAAAAAAAATCAAAATTGTCATTTTTCGTTCAATGTCGGTTTCAGTGTGTTAAAAATTCTTACATTGTAATCCTTATCTATTCCTTGGAACAGTTTTTCCCTTATAAGCAATGGATCTTGACACATTAGGCCACAAAAAGGAGAAAATGTAGGAACGTGGAGCCGCATCCACCTCTCCACACAAATGGCCGACATGAACTGAGGAATCAATCCCGGGCATGCGCAGACTCAACACTGTGACGTCACGCTGATATAGACTACAGTTTCATTATGCCAACCTTACAAACCACGTTTTCTGTTATAGTCTTCTCTTGACTTTTGGTACATAACAACTTATGATTAAAAATTTTCACAATTCATTCCTTTTATCGTTACTATATCTTAAACTATATTTCATAAATATGTGATTTGCAAGTCATGCAGTCGAGTTATATTGGGTCAAATGCGATCCATCTTAATTCTCATTTTTACCTTTAATTCTTATGTAAGATATGTAACACACACATCTTAACACAACAGCGAACCCCGCCAAATTTAAATCTCATTTGTCTATATTCGTCCGTAAACATTAACATAAACAAACAAATAATATTAATGACTTGTTAATATATATTTTTAAATATCTATTTTTTTGTAATTCTTATAAACCCTGCATTTTTCAAGTTATTTCATTTGGAATTGTTTTAAATAATTCAGTTCAGTTATAGTTCAGTTCTATGAGTTCTATACAATGATATTTTTTTGCTAAATCTCAGAATGCAGTTTTTTATCAATTCTATCAGCTATTTTAGTTTCCTTTATTTGTTATCCATTTTTCTTTAATCTAAATTCTTTAATAATCCCGTATCAGTCGAAAGGAAAATTCTGTTTTCTTTAATTATTTTTTTGCCGATGGTCGTTTTTCTCTTGAGCGTTATTGTTCCTTCCTTAGGTTTATCACTTAAATTTAGTATACGATTTTTGGACCCCCCCCCCTCCTATCAATTTTGTACATGACCATTTATTTTTCAGCAAATTTATTATTATTTATTTTTTTGTTATTTAGGGTTAGGTTAGGTTAAGGAAAGGCCGAGCGCTGCGGCCACACTTTCTGGGCCGAGCGCTGCGGCTAGGATGGGCTAGGGGGCCGAACGCTGCGGCCACGGGTTAGGTTAAGTTAAGACACTTCCTGTCAGACCCATGTACAAAATTGATAGGAGGGGGGGGGGCGCGGGGGGCCCAAAAAATCGTTTACTAGGAAATTACCAAAAAATAGAATTTTAAAGCTTTTTTAAAAAAAATTCTAAGCTTGCACCGTTCTCAATTTAACAGTAATAGCTTAATCTTGTTTCTCTAAGTTACCTAAATGGATTTATTAAGTCTCAATGCGGATGCAATCATTAAAAAAATTTTAATCAAATTAATCTAAATTTAGATAGCCAAAACCTTTTGAATGCGCATAATTTTCGAGTTTAACTCTGGTTTAACTAAGGAAAGAAAAAATTAAACTAATCAGTCAATTTTAAATGTTTAAAGCTCGAGGGACGCAGTCAATGACTTTTGAACCTTTGATTTGATTTCAAAATAATTTTAGCATGACTTCCCCCCCCCCCTTACACACAAAATCTCATATGTTTAGTTATATCTCAATTTTATGAATACAACTAGCAAGAATTTCAGAGATTTATGAATTGCAAAATCAATCAATCTTTATATCCCAGGAAACATTTTTACCGACTATATGTACCGATGGGGAAGATATCAGGTAGATAGTTCTGGACTTTATATGTTCTCCATCGGTTTGTCGGAGACTAAATGTTTGCGTTTGCNCCCTCCCCTCTCAAGAAATCAAAACCCTGATATGTGGAATCTAGGCTGACAGCAGTGAGTTAATTGGATCTCTAAATACACAGTTAATATCTTAAATAATACTCTTTTCCTGTTTCAGATTTGACCGGAACTTGGAGGGTCAGATAGCACTCCTTTCGTCAGCTGGTACCTTAGAAAAACAGCTGATAACTTTAAGAAACATCTTATACCTCTCAGAAACAACTGATACCTCTTTGAAGGAGCTAATACCTCTCAGAAACAGCTAGTAACTCGCTAAGACAAACTTTAAATCTAAAAAGAAGTTATTAAGGTTAAGAAACTATAAGAAACAACTGATTGTTAGAAAACTTCTCAAAACAAATGACAACTGTAGTCCATGAGAATAACTGATAACTCTCTGATCAGAAGATAAGAATTTTTGGCGAAAGATGATGACTTTTGAAAGTAGAAAATGCCACAATAAAGTGTCTTAAGGATATCCAAGTGGAAAACAGCTGATTATCAACTCGGTTCTCGAAATCCTCGAAACTACGAGAAACAATTAGAAGAACTATTTCAAAGAGAAAAATAACTATGCTAATTAAAATACAACAAAGCCCATGATAATCAACTCCCTTCAAAGCTCAGTTTTTTTTGTCTCCAAATTCTCAAAAATTGCCGGATTTTGTTTTTTCTAAAAACATAAAATCATTCGGGTCAAGAGTGTCCAGGGCTCATCGAAGAATTCCTACGCGTGGGCCCTGAAACTCCACGTGCTCACATCTACTTATTAAGAAGTGAAAGTGGCGACATTTTAATTTTTATCTTTTGTTCAATCATTTCAGCTCAATAAAGAAATTTTCTTATTTAGAATTTAATCATTATGATTGAGATAAGGAATGAATTCTTTGCATATCTTAATTCTTTATTTTTCATATTTTGCAAAATTTTGACACAAATTTATTTTATTTCTGCGACACACACTGTTGCACTTAAGGAGGGAAATTTAGTAACGGCAATGAACCTTTTACCATAATGACCCCCCCGCCTCCCTGAACATTTACAGAATCATCTAATGTATAAACATATATAGAATCGTTGATGTACTTGGGGTGTCCCTAGACATTTATAGGAATGTAAAAAGGGTATCTTGAGACATGTAAACAATCATTGACATAAAGGGGGTACCTAAATATTACTATAATTATCTTGACATTCATAGGATCATTTCAAGAATCGTTGATATACAGGTCCTCAGAACTTAGAAAGTATTTTTCAGGGTGTCCCTAGACATTTGCAAAATCAGTGATATCGAATTTTTTATGTACCCTTACTAGACATATTTATAAAAGGAGTTTTTTATCAAAATATTGTCTACCCCTTTTACAAATTAAATTGTCAAGGAAATACAATTAGGTAACATAAAGAATACTTAGCAAAGAACATTATCAGAACTTTACGTGACATGGGACATAAACTTAGTGAGATGAAATAATCAATATTCACACATTCAAAGAACAAGGATATGAACAGACAGAAAAATTTGAGAAAAAAAAATAAACTCAAGGTTTTTAGAGAATAGACAAAACCGAAAGATTTTGGTCTTCCCAAAAACAATTATATTGGGATTAATACAACACAAGTTGAATTGGCGTGCAGGGGGGGGGGAGGGGTTCTTCCTTTGAAATATGAGAAATCTGACTGAAGTCACGTAACTCTTAAACTTAGGTCCTGCAAATCTTTGAAAAGAAATTTTGAATATTTTCCACCACAGTTTAGTTTTAGTATTACTTTTTCCTAAAGGATAAAAGAATAACTTAAAAATTTTAAATATTTCTTTATGTCTAATATACAAAGCTTAGGATCCATTAAATTTGATGCGGATCCGGATCAGCACTGAAAAAAAAATCGATCCGGATCCAGGTAATTTCTTAAGATTTACTAAATTTTTTTAACAAAAAAAATTTCAAATTTTTTATTTCATTTTTTTCGCTTATTTTTATCCTAAAACTTGATGAACCATTCATGAGAAATGAGTAAATTTTATAATCTATCTTTTGTTTCAAAAGTTCAGATTTCGGTTTTAGGAGTAAAAAAGTTTTTTTTTGCAGTTTTTAGTTGATATATTATCCCTTGGATCCGGATCCAGATCCAGGAAGCCAATCTTGCGATCCAACGGATCCTAAGCACTGCTCAAAAAGCTTAACCAAATTACATTGCAGTTTCAGCTTACTTATTATTGTTAAGATATTTATCAAGTAAGTATCATAAAGAAAATCATTTCAAATGTTTTTTTTGACCGAGTGAGTCATAGATTTTCCAAGATAGAAACGAGTGTGGCGTAAATACTAAACTAAGAAAGTTTAAAGAAATCTTCTAACTTGGTGAGGAATTTTGTGCAAAATTGCGAAAGAAAACAAAAATGTGTGCAAATCCTAACTTTCAGGCAAGTCATGTATTGTAAGAAGAGGTCCAGTGCAGTTTCAGATTTTAAGGCCGTCAGGCCAATACTAAAGTATATGACGTGTACAAAAGGCCCTAGAGCATGGTATTGAATCAAAATCATCCATTTAAACTGAAAAAATTGAAATTTTATTCCCCTCCTTCTTTCTATTCTGTTTAGAAGTATTGGAAAACGTGAGGGAATGAAGTTAGCTGTGTTGTGTTGAGACAAGGCCTAAAAAATTCATACCGAGAGATTCTTTTAATTCCTCTCTATATATTCTATTCTCTATGTATATAAGGTCTCTGATATTGGATTGTGTCAACGACTCAATAACTTTGTTTTCGTTGTTTTTCGAAGAGAAATGCAGATAGATTGAGCATCAATTAAATATTGAAATAGAAGATGGGGCGAGAAGCGCCCTGCTAGCCTAGTACAAGTAAAAGAGTGAAAGATAAGATGGAAGTTTAGTCATAGAACTTCATTCATGAAATCTGAAAGTAAATACTTTTACACAATTTTGTTGTGGGAGTTTTAGAGATGGGGATCGAAACTTTTTGTTGGACATAACTGACCCAAATTTTATATTTTCTTTATCCCTCCCTTTTCATTTTTAAGTATGTTATCCTAAACTAATGAATTAATTAATTCTTCAATAAATCAGCCTTATAAACTTTACAGTCCAAAACAATAATTTTTTTGCTTCAAATTTAATTTTGGAATTTTTCTGTTGCAAACCAAATTAAAGATCAATAGGAGTGCACTTCTTCTAAATTTATATTGGCAGAATTGAAGTTTCAAGGGTTACTCCTGGAATGCTAATGTTGCAAGTATATTGGTGGACCCGGAGAGAGAAGAAAGTGAGTTTTTATGTTCGTGTCAGAAAATCATATTTATTTCGAGAAAGAATCGGAAAATTTAGCATTTTATAAAAGAATGTAACATAAGAAGTGTGTGGAGAAAATAGTTTATCTAATAATCATGGTCTGATATTTCTCCGTCCTGGTCTGGTTTTAAATAATATTTCTCCGTCCTGATCTGGTTAAAATGATATTTCTCAGTCCTGATCTCTTTTTAAATAATATTTCTCCGTCCTGATCTGGTTTTCAATAATATTTCTCCGTCCTGATCTGGTTTCAAATAATATTTCTTTGTCCTGATCTAGTTTTGAATGTCGATATTTCTTCGTCCTAATCTGGTTTTAAATAATATTTCTCCGTCCTGGTCTGATTTAAAATTATATTTCTCCGTCCTGGTCTGATTTAAAATTTTACTTCTCTGTCCTGGTCTGATTTAAAAAAAACTTCTCCGTCCTCGTCTGATTTAAATAATTTTTCTCCGTCTTGGTCTGATTTAAAATTTTTCTTCTCTGTCCTGGTCTGATTTTAAAAATACTTCTCCGTCCTGGTCTGATTTAAAATTTTACTTCTCTGTCCTGGTCTGATTTAAAAAAATACTTCTCCGTCCTCGTCTGATTTAAATAATTCTTCTCCGTCTTGGTCTGATTTAAAATAATTCTTCTCCGTCCTGGTCTGATTTAATTATACTTCTCCGTCCTGGTCTGATTTAAAATAATACCGTCCTGGTCCTGGTCTGATTATAATTATTCTTCTCCGTCCTGGTCTGACTTAAAATTTTACTTCTCCGGCCTGGTCTGATTTAAAATAATTCTTCTCCGTCTTGGTCTGGTTTCAAATAATCATTCTTCGTCCTGATCTAGTTTTGAATGTCGATATTTCTTCGTCCTAATCTGGTTTGAAATAATATTTCTCCGTTCTGATCTGGTTTCAAATAATAATTCTTCGTTCTGATCTAGTTTTGAATGTCGATATTTCTTCGTCCTAATCTGGTTTTAAATAATATTTCTCCGTCCTGGTCTGATTAAAAATTATATTTCTCCGTCCTGGTCTGATTTGAAATTTTACTTCTCTGTCCTGGTCTGATTTTAAAAAATACTTCTCCGTCCTGGTCTGATTTAAATAATTCTTCTCCGTCCTGGTCTGATTTAATTATACTTCTCCGTCCTGGTCTGATTTAAAATAATACCGTCCTGGTCCTGGTCTGATTATAATTATTCTTCTCCGTCCTGGTCTGACTTAAAATTATACTTCTTCGTCCTGGTATGGTTTCAAATGCCTAATCTCCGTTATTGTTTGGTTTTGAATGATATTTCTCCGTCCGGTCTGGTTTCAAAGGAATGGGCCTGTCTGAACTAATTGTCATTTCTCCGTCCTGGTCTGAAAATGATATTTATCCCTTCTCACCAAGTTTATATTTGTATACTTTTTTACCGTAGCATGGTCTGAACCAAAATGTCTTTTCTCCGTCCTGACCCTATTATAAATGATATTTCTCCGTCCTGGTCTGATCCTATTAATATTTATATGACCTGGTCTATTTTAAAATGTTATTTATCCGTCCTGGTCTGATCCTATTAATATTTCTATGTCCTGGTCTATTTAAAAATGACATTTCTCAGTCCTGATCTGATCAAATTTATATTTCTATGTCCTGGTCTATTTTAAAATGTTATTTATCCGTCCTGGTCTGATCAAATTAATATTTCTATGTCCTGGTCTATTTAAAAATGACATTTCTCAGTCCTGATCTGATCAAATTTATATTTCTATGTCCTGGTCAATTATTTCAAAATGATATTTCTCCGTCCTGGTCAGATCAAATTAATATTTCTATGTCCTGGTCTTTATCAAAATGATATTTATCGGTCTTTGTTTAGTATTCCTTAACAGACTAATAAAATATTTTTTCTTCTTAGTAATAGAAACATCTGTGCTTTTACCTTCTCACCCCTAACAAAGCTATCGGTGAGTTCTGCAGTATTTTGCAGTACACTGACCGAAGATATAATAGCGTTTTATAATGGACAATGTACTCAGGGTATAACAAGAACATTATATTTGTATCTTTAGCTTAATATCACTGTAAACTAGACAGTATGAGACTTTGTGACCTCGTAGCTCTTCTAGTTTTCATTCTACGTACGCAAAAGGGAAAAGCAAATTTATCCTGGTTATATTTTGGAAATTCAGATCATTGACATTCTTCATTAGAATGAGTTATGATTGAAAACATATAAGATTACAATCTTTCATGCAATTTACTATGGTAGTTTAACATTATATTATATAGATATATATCATTATTTGAATAGGGATATTACTATTTGTGAAAACTGTGTAAGGCATATAAAATAAAATAGACGATCCATGATTATTAGACTGCATAAGAAAAAGATTAGAAATTAATAGCTTAAGTTTAAATTTTTTATTTTTTCGGAAAATTGTTCTTAGATTAGTAAATAAAAATTCACATTTTCTATGTTTTTAACTCGTAAAAATACATATTTTTTAATAAGCATACTTAATTATGGACGTATGAGCTTCAATTAAGAAAAGTTGTTGAAA